AAGATATAGGCCTACACAACTTTAACTTGTTTTGTTTCCTACATATTTACTTGGGCGGGCAGCAAAGTATATTTGGCACCCATTTTAGCATTTTGCATAGAGATGTTATCTGGTATTATGTTGCAAGACATAATACTAGACATGACATGATGGAATTTTTTCAAGCATTGAGTGACAGTGAACACACCAGTGCAGATCTAATTCAGTGTCACGTTGGTTTCGATCCATATGCGGAGCACCTGCTCCTGTGAAAACGGAATTACAGTTGAGTTTATTAAATGCAACGTACTGCGGATGGAGAAACTCAGCAGAGCAGAGAGACAGAAAGAGGCGGGGCAAGCTGTTGTGTATGTAGTGAGAGACCAGAGGTGTGGGTGTGTGGAAATGAGAAATGAAGAGAGAGGGAGCAGATTCAAGTAGTGAATAAACACTATATTAAGGTGAAGAATATAATTGAAATAATGAGATGATCTACCAGAAATCCAAATACTTTACTGAACTGTCCATGTCCGTGGTTCTGTCCCACGGAACTGCGACACATGCCTGTGGACGATTGTGTCACATATTCGGTCTCTGTCTCAGAATTGTTGCATCCCTATATTTTATGGTAGAAATGTTACATAATGTTGCTTGAAACTTGGGTGGCAAGCTAGCCAACAAAGCTATACAGCAACTTTCAGTGTTATATAGTGCAGCACTAGGTGATCTGGACCTGGAGTGACAATGACAGAGACTGACTAACTGCCGTTATTTTAAGATAACGTTAGTACATAATGTTGCTTCAAACTGCTACAGAACTGTAACAGTAGCGGTTGTTACTAGCAACAGACTGCTCAACTGAAACTAACCAAAGATTTATAAATAATCCTACAACTTATGGATATTTTCATTTGATCCTCCAAAATTCATGGCAGAATGTGATTTTGGTAGAAAACTGTTGATTCTGTCTCTGATATTCATCTATACGTCATGCGGATTCTGTGAGCTTATAGAAAGGTTAACGTCTCTCTTCCTACAGGGGCTCAATTGATTGTATCCAGCTCATAAATGAGGAGCATATGATAACAGGAGCTGACGATGGGTAAGACAGTTGCAGCTATTACAGTCACATCGTCTCGGTCACAGTTTTTGTTCCAGGATCTAATCGTGCTAACTGATTCATTCGTGTTTCTCTTCCGTACCGTTTTCTCAATTTTTCCGAACGACCTCAGCTCCGTGTCTCTTTGGAGTGTCAACAAGAAGAAGCCTCTCAGCACGGTGAAGCAGGCTCACGGTTGCCATGGTGATGCAGGGCTGGAGCAGCCCCATTGGGTCGCTTCGGTAGCAGCGCTTCAGAACTCAGATACTGTTGCCTCAGGTGCCTCTGGCTGTGAGAGTCCTCCTTACCAGCTTTTTAATTACACACAGAGACACACACACACTTTATTATGTGCAAATTAAACAATTTCACAGTGATCTCGTATGAATGCAAATTTAATCAAAATAATTAATACACCTGACACAATCCTAGACACTCAGTGTGGTAGAACAGTTGAAGCAATTCTGTATCTAAGCTGCATTTAAGATGTTCTGTTGTGATATCAAGTTCTTTAACAATGGTTCTTCTGTACAGGTTCACACAACTCACAGGTGCAGCTGTGGAAGTGTGGCCAGTATTACCGTGGACTGCAGCCTCTATTCAGTGTACCAGTGGTAAGCTTTTACTCCCTACTGTCTTTTTAGAAAAGGTCACATTTACATAAGAATTACACACATTATTTTTTACGGATACCTGTATGGCCGTCTCAAAATATCGTGCGTTGTCTCTTCCTTCTGCTTTCTCTCCCAGTCCGGTTTTGTCAACAGTCTTAAGTTTTCGAGCTCCGGTCAGTTCTTGGTGGCAGGAGTTGGACAGGAGCACAGGTAACTGAATTAATGATCATGTTTCCATAGAAACTGTCTGTGGAGTTCATGTCACTACTAAATGTCAGTGCAGGTTCATGAATGGAGAAATGAATGTCCACTAGATGGAGGTGTTAATTCATCTGTCAGCTTTTGTCAGGTGAAAATACACTTTTCCCTTTTTTCCAGTGCAGCCTCACTTGTTTCCAGTTTTCTTGAAAGAAGTGATAGTATCATGAGATCAGTAGATTAAGAGATAAGATTATATTTTATTTTTTAATTTAGACGAATACCAGAAAAAGGACATGTAATGATGGATGTTTGTTAGTTATGGTTTACAGTAGATAATTTAAAAACCTGCCACATGCCTGAAAAATAAATTAAACTGCAGAGGCTGTTGTTGCTTTTGACTGCATCTTAAAGAAAGATCTGGATGCCTCCATATTTGAACCAACCAATAAACTTTAGCAACAAAGCGCTCCAACAGTTTATGGTAATTGGTAAGGTAATAGATTGTCGCTCACTGGAATAAAAATAATTAACTCCACTGAATTCCATATAAACAAACATTGTTCTCTAATGAAGAGACTGTACAGACCCAGACCAGTAGGTGGCGGAATAGAGAGATACACATATGGTCAGCTCACCTTACTCGGAATATAACTGTTATTTCACATTTGTTAGTGAGCTTAAGGACAGACCAGCTTGGGACACATATATAGAAAGCCGACCTTTAATTGGAGTTCAAAACACTGAAAAAAGTTGTTGGAATCTGATTTGCAGATTTCAGTAGTTCTGAGGGTTGTTCGGTTGTCTGAAGTTATTAAAAGCGCTCAATTACAATCACAGTTGACTCTGAACATAACCTAGGCCAAAGTGACTACAGTCAGCACCTTTTTGTATTTAAAAGGACTTCCAACATGTCTCATCAGGCCAGACTGGTGGCTGCATCCAAGCAACAGTTCAGTACAATTTCTGTCATTGGATCAGTTTGTAATTTTATTATCCCACACACTTTAATATTGCCTTGTATTTGCTTTGATTCTGATTTAAGATGTTAACCACCAAGGTTTAGTTAGATAAGGTTGACCATAAAACTGTTGTTGGATCAGTGTAAAACATAATTGTAATGGCATAATCTAAAAACAGAAAATAAGAATGGATCATAAAACATAATTTTTCTTTTTCTTCAGTTTCAGTTTTTATTTTATTTATTTATTTTTTAAATTCTATCAGGATGATGTAAGTGTGTTTTTTATGCATTAGCTCTGGTTCTAAGTTTGTGTTTTTCTGCAGGTTGGGCCGATGGTGGAGAATAAAAGAGGCCAAGAATGGGATCTATATTATTCCTCTTAAAAGGAAATGTCCCAATCCAGAGGAAGCCAAGATGACGGAATAGTGGATTGTTAAGTGTCTTTTCTTTTGTAAATTAAAGAGTTAAATACAGCCTGTGCATCTTGTTTTTGTTTATCATCATCTTGAGTAAAAAAAACTGCAAAATTAAAAACTGCCCGGAGTGATTTGTTTATACAAGTGTTTGCTCCAAGTGTCTTTTGTGATTTTTGTTTTTGCGGAAGCTTTAACAGCAGCTTTAGCGAAGGAATCAGCAGTGTGGGCAAGGTGGGCTGTGTCTGCATTTGGCCAGAAGTGAGAAAAGGCTGCATCGTAGGAGTCGATGCATCCTACCCAAGCTAACAACACTCTTAACCATGTTATGATCTTATGAAATTTGTGTTTCTTTAATTATTTGTACTAAATGAGGGGGGGTCTGTTGAAGGTTTCTCTGTGTCTGCTGGGAGAAGTTATCACTTTTTTTAAAATCATGCTTAAGAAGCAAGACTAAGCTTAGGCTTCACCCAGGCCCACATCGTCATGGAAACTGCTTCTATTTAGGTTATTGTCAGCCTGTCCGAGCCGAACATAACATTGCTGTTAGCTCTACAGGGGAATTGCTTAACTGTGTTGGACCTACTGGATCTTTTAAATCTTGCAAAATATCATTGACAAACGAATATTAATATTTGCATATCAGGTAGTCTACATGATTTGAATGTAGCTATCGGTAGATCAAGTTTACAGTAGTGCGAGTGTGCTGAAATCCTTTAATAACATTTCCTTAGTATTCCTGCAGGTGTCTTCTTTGGCAGAAGTGTTACTTTTCGCTGGTACATAATTGTGTTCGTTTTGTCATCCATGGAGTCATCAAACTCCCTCCCTCCTAACATTTATGAATGTCAGGAGGGAATACCATTTCTACCATATTACTACTTTTACAGTTTTATATCTTTATACATACATTCACAGGAGAAATTATGCTGATTTCTGAATGAATTGGTCATAAAATGTGATTTGATCTTCACATTCACAACAATAGACAAACACAGTCTGCTTAAACGAATACCACACAAACAATTACATGTTTTTGTTTTTATTAAACACACCGTGTAAACATTCACAGTGCAGGGTGGAAATTGTATGTGAACCCTTGGATTTACTGGTTTATCCTCCTTTGGTAGCAATAACCTCAACCAAATGTTTCCTGTCGTAGCAGAGCAGACCTGAACAACAGTCAAGAATAATTTTAGACCGTTCCTCTTCACGAAATCGTTTCAGTTCAGCAATATTCTTGGGATGTCTGGTGTGAATTATGGGCTGCATGTTTACTTACATATGCATTTAACCCATACCAACAGACCAGGCAGACAGCAAGCGGGTTGTTTATAGATGGTTATTGCAATTTAATATCAGGAAACTCCAATCAGTATAAAACATTAAAATCCAGCTTGGGTGAAAACATTTTATCGGCACTGTACATGTATAATTACACATACTCAACTAGTAGTTACAGCAATAGTTAATAGCTTAAAGATGTGAGCACCAAATACAAAACACTTGGTATTAGAGCAGAAGTGAAAATCATGCTGCACCTGTTTGTCCCTTTTTTAACTCTTTATAAAATTACAGGAAAGCAATTTAATAAGTTGATTAAACTAAAATAACAGACATTTTAAAGTAAGTTCATTTGGATTTGAGGATCAAACCCTTTGTGCAAAAAGCCCGTTGTTATGCATTTATTTTGTATTTTGTCAAGAACTGCAAGTATGAACCCAAACACGGCGGTATTTAATCTTTTAATAATAAAAAACATTTTATTTACATAAATTACAGGAAAGCACGCACTGTTATACCAGTCTACATTAACACATGTCCTTTATATTGTCTAGTTGTCTACTTTTCATTACGTTCACTATGGTTAGTCACATATTTTGTTTTAACAGAAGGGATAAATTTATTTCATAGCAGTTTTTTTTTGTCAATGTCTACAACATTTGGATATATTCACAGCACTGTAAGGACAAGATAAAAACAGCCTTTTGTTTTGTATTACACTATTGCTTCACAAGCACCCAAATGACAACAAGACTCTTAAGGACAAGGCACGGTGCATTTAATCACATCTACAGTATCTGTAAACTGAGGAGATCACAGCATATTAAATCTATACAAAAAGGCTTTACAATTGATACATACTGCTCGCTGTAGGAACATCATTTAGCTTTCACAGTTAAGAGTTACCCTTGCCACTGTCAGCCAGTCTACCCACACAGAGTTATCTCTCTGCAGCATGTTGGATGGCATGGGGGCTCCGTCACACACAGCCCTGTTTAATGGAGGGATGAGTGATGATGGGATGGTCTCTTGTGCTTAGAGAGGAACCTTTTTCACAAAGACGACGTTGTGGAGTCCACCACCTCACGGCCGTTACAAACTGCTGGCACGTAATTAGAGGCTGACCCTGGGAGAGTAAAAACAGCGATGTTAGCCAGGCAACAAGTTTTTCCACTGCTAGGAAACAAAACTGTAAACCAGAGAGAAAAGCTGGGAGCAAAACTGTGGAAATGGCAAGTCATGGGCTCTACAAGTCTGGGCTGGTTAGGGTCAGTTTCTTTCTCAGTAACAAAAATGTTGGTTTACATGTTTATGAGAAGCTCTCAGCTGTGGTGGAAAGTAACCTGTAACTACATTTACTCAAGGAATGTATTATTACACTTAAGTACAACTTTGTTACATTATACTTTTTATTACAAATTCACTGTATTGGACAGCTACTTCCCTTTTTAAGACTCCACATATAAAACACACGATCAGGTTATAACATTTGAAATTAAACTTCTCACCAGTATATAATGCAGTTACAATTAGCTCCACCTTGAATAGCTACAACAGTAAGTCTGCATAGTGAAAATAATCCAGTATAATATAAAACAATAATAACAGCTGTACTCTTTTTGGATAACAAATACTCCTGTACTTTTACTTACGTAAGATTTTAAATGCAGGACTTTTACTTGTAACTGAGCATTTTTACACTGTTGTATTTTTGACTTTTACTTAAGTAAGCGCTGTGAATACTTCCTCCACCTCCGGATCTCACTCATCACATCAAACATTCATTTCAGATGACTAAAATGTTTTATGTCCAGTTGAAGAAGTGAACAGTTAAACAAGTGTTAAGTGTCCATATGTGAGGCCCTGGGATGAGAACAGTTTGCAAATGCACAGTTGTAGTTTGGACGAAATGTTGTTTGAGCTGTCTTGGCTCTGAAAAAAAGGAACTTTACTTGTCTGTGTTCATTTGCAAAGTTTGTGCTGTGAATGAGTTGTCTGTTTATTAATGAGCTTAAGATAAGACTTGCTCTTATCCAAATGAAAAGAAACATAATGACTGGATTTTAATTGCTTAGTCACACTAATGCAAAACCAGAGAAAACAAAAAAGCTGAAAGAACTTGCAATCTTTTCTTATTTTCATTCTCAGGTTTCTCTGCCCTGGGTCATTAAATAATATGTAAAAACCTACAAAACAAGTGCAACATGTAGCAATACTGTACAGCATTTTACAAAGCTCAAAATATTGCGTCACTGCAGTTCTCTTGATTGTACTTTTATTACCTAGGATTCTTACATACGTCCTACATAGATAAGTATTGCTATGATCAAAATGTGTGATAATTCCAGTCAAAAACATTCCTTAACACAGACGTCTTTGTGCTGGTGTATGTATGTAAAGCCTACTGGACAGAGCAATGAGTACCAGATATGTTGGACACTTCTACCTTTAGAGTAGCTGGAGCTGGGAGCGGAGGCAGAAGCAGAAACTGTTGCACTGAAGCGGTTGGCTGTGACTCTGAGTGAGGCCACATTTTTCTGGGGCTGAAACAGGATGATGTGAATCTTGGGGGCGAAGAGGCAGCCGAGGACCACCGAGCCACTCAGACTGACGGAGATACACATGGTGGTGGTCTGCACCTGTGAGGAAAGGAGGAGAGAGAGAGAGAGAGAGAGTGGGACAGTGGGTGGGTCATGATGAATATATCAGTTTGCACTCCTTTTGTCTTCAAAAGGACTAATGAAGTTTGTTCAAAGGCCACCTGGCTACAGCACACCTTATACACACACCCACACAGACACCTATTACTTTACTACAGTCTTTGATCCAATCAACTCACTCACTGTTTTATTCGTTTCCTGCTCTGGTCACTCCCAAATCTTTAATCCAATCAGTGCAATTCCCTCTCGCCCCTTTATGCTGGTTTCCTCCAAATCATTGAACCAGTCTCTTCATTTCCCTCCGTTCCAAAAACTCAATCCCGAACCAATCACAACCTCGCTGTCAATACTGTATATGCAATATGCTCTTCATCGTCTTTCAGCTCACAAAACACCTCCCCTCCTCCTTCTCCTCCTCTCACCTTACCTGCCATAACAGCACCAATTATCTTCACGTTCCTTCCATCGTTCCTACCACATCCTACTCACTTAATTATAACACATAAGCATCCTTTATTACAAATACATAAATGAATAATCAGTATTATCTTGTTGGCCTCTCCTTGTGAAACGTTGTGGGATATGTCGTAGCTGTAACTTTGATTGGTTTCTTGTTTTTACATGACTGAAACTTGGTCAAAACACATTTAAAAAATGTACAATCATCAAATATTTTTAAATGTTCCTTTGTTTAATAATGAATCTGGATGATTATAGGTCAGATCATGTGATTTAACTGTATTTAGTCACAAAAACACAAACAGAAATCTCTTCGTTTAATATTCTAGTATTATTAGCCACATTTCCATTTTCAATTGTGTGTGTGTGTGTGTGTGTGTGTGTGTGTGTGTGTGTGTGTGTGTGTGTGTGTGTGTGTGTGTGTGTGTGTGTGTAAAGTTGTCAATTATGAATGTTAGCAATTCTAATTGTGCATCTGCGTGTGCATAGAGACCAGGGCAAGAAGAAGAACCTGGAATAAGCACAGCTGGCTGTCCTGGAAAGTCAGGGCCTTGTTAGTCATATTTCAGCTGCTAATGTGAGCTGACTGCTGGGGTCATCTTCATGTGCACCATCTCTTCCCACCCCACTGGTTACCCCTGCAGTCCAGGAACTTCTATTTGCAGAACCACAGCATGAAGTGAAATCCTTCCCAAACACACCGCACAACAACAACACTGCAGAAATATGAGAAGTCCTCACTCATTTAAGCTTTAGACCACAGACATAACTGGTGAAAATGCCGCCAAGACATTGGTACTAGTACTTCACTTGTCTCCAGCTACTTACCTTTTTCAGCATAAAGATGTCTTTTTAGTAGCTATTTCCAATTAATTTAGCTCTACAAATAATTATGAAGCACCAATAGGATGTGTCACTGTGTTAAACATGCTGTTCTTCTTGCTTCTTTCTTGCCTTCTTGCTTTAAAACTAACAGCAAAGAGAATGAGATTACAATTTTACAGTTTTTTTAATGCTGTCTTTTAAAATCTTTTATCATATTTATATGATTGATTATATTTATATTGATGGATATCTTTGCAGTTTGTCAACTGATATTTGTATTTTAATTTGGATATAACATTAATTTAATAATAATTTTTACTTTTATGATTCAGTATGTGAATTTATGACAATTATCTTAAAAAGATAAATGTATAATTAATCAGTGCACATTACCTCAGGCATTGACTATATCTATAGAGATAATGAGGACTTTTGATCCAATTAGAAGAATGAAATGTACAGGTGAACGTGAAATAATTCACATGTAAATGTTTCTGGAAATAAGAGAATGACCAACAGTGAAACCTTGAGTTCATCATGATTCACTGGGCAGCAAGGCTAGTCTCTCATTAGAATATTTCTGTGCTATCCAACCCTAATTTGGAATGTGGCAACTGAACCACCGGCAATTATTATTGGTGTCACAGAACCAAAGCATCAAGGTCTCTGTTGCAGTGCCAAACCACTCATTCTTTCAATTACTCTCTGTGCTGCCTCTTCAGTATAAAGCCTTATATTCTACAATGTTCAGCCGGTCTAATATATCCCACTGGGGATCACGAAAGGTAAAGGTTTTTGGTTCACGGTGCCAGAGAGGCTGATCACCACAGACATGAAAAGCCTAAGGTACATGATGATAGAAAGCTTGTGTGATCCTAGACCTCCCCCCATCTGTTTGCACAACAAAGGCCTTGTTGCACACCCTGACCAAATGCTGTAGCAGCACCCTTGAGTCTGCCCAGGGCAACAGCACTCAAAATTTACATGGCCTGTCAGTGTTATGCCTGTTATTTTGTCTTATTTGTCTTACTTCACACTGCATAGAGAAATACATGAATTTGTCCTTGCAGCTATAAATATTCTACTTGGGAAAAATAGTATGAATACTCAAATGTTTGGCCTGTTGCATCTTTCAGACAAGCCCAGTAATAGTTTTGCATATTCAGCCCATGTATTATTGTCATTTGTGTGATGCAGGGTAAATGCAGCCTTTAGCCATTTGTGTAAAGGCTAATAGCTGCAAAATGTTATCCCCTTGTGACAACTCTGCAGCAGATATGTCATATTTCCACTAATTATCAGGTAGGCGATTCCACTAAATGAGCCAGCACTCCCTGCTTACAATTATTTTTACCACAGGTCATAACACTGCCTAGTGAGTTATCTATATAGTGCCAGTTGTGATTGAGTCTTAGTATCTAATACCACTAACTGTAATAAATCTCCAGAATTCATCTTTTGCTCCTGAAATGCATCATTAAGCATTTACTAGCCCCGATTCAATAAATCAGTTTGACTGTCATTAATTATTTCTATCTGTATATTCCTGCCTGATCTGTCTCCTGAGTCTTTGTTCTTGTCTTGAAATATCCTTCAACCCACATGAAAGAAAGCTTGCTCTTTCATGGGTCTGGGTGACGGTGATCAAATGGAATCGGAAAGTGACACCTTCTTCTTTAGCAATGATGAACACACTAGGGATAGTCATTTATAGACTAAGTTTACATTATTCCACAACAGTGGACTTGAGAAGTTTCTAGAAATATAGATTATAAACACTCAACTGACTTTATAAAAAAACATTTTCATAGATAGTTACCCTGTAGTCACTGGCAGTGACATAGAAGATGGGCTGGAAAGCGAGCCAGATGATGCACGTGGTGTACATGGTGAACCCAATGAACTTGGCCTCATTGAAATTTTCAGGGCACTTTCGCGTCTTGAAAGCGTAGACAGTGCAGAGGATGATGAGGATGCAGTTGTAGGTGAGTGACATGAGCATGCTGGAGTCCCTGCTGTTGCATTTGAGGGTGACCACGTCTCTCCTCTCCGGGCTCACCTCCTTCCGAACCCCTGGCACCTCCACCAGCAGCCAGGTAAGAGCCACTAGTAGCTGGCAGGAGATAAGAGCACCGCAGATAGCTACCTGGGAGGCGGGGCTGATGAAGCGCGGCCGCTGGGCTCCATCCTTCACCCCGCTGAAGATCCGAGCGATGCGGTTGGTCTTGGTTAGAAGAGCTGAGTAACACACTGCGAACGAGGTGCCCAGACCTAGTCGGCGTAGGGTGCAAACAGCAGTGGAAGGCTTGGCAATGTAGATAAACGTCATGAGGTAGCACATTAGCACTCCCAGCAAGAGGATGTAAGAGAGTTCACGTCCACTTGCTTTAACCACAGGTGTCTCATTGTGCTTAAAGAACAGGGCAACTACTGATAGAGTACATAGTATACCAAGGCAGGAGATGGAAACAGGCCCAATAGCCCAGGCATCCTCCCACCGGATGTATTCTTCAGGCAGATCATAGCAGCCAGTCAAATTGGCCAGGGGCCACTGACCGAAGGTGCAGTCAGCACAGGTGAACTCATCCTGCAGGTACTGATAGGGCTGACAGGGAATACAGATCCAGCAGCACACGTCTCCAGGCTGCATGCTCTTCACCTCATTCTTCCTGCAGGGGTCGCTACACTGGGAGGTTGGTGGTACGTGGCCATGCCAGGGCACCAGGGTGGTGTTCAGGGTAAGGTTCTGGTCCCAGTAGCCAACCTTCCTGTAGACGAACTTCTCCTCTTCTTTGTGATAATGAAAGATGTTGTAGCGGCTGATGCTGTCACCAAAAGAGTCAAAGCGAACCATGTTTTCAGTGTCAGCAGGTCTGAACGGAGCTGGTAGGAGGCAAAAATAAAGAAATGTAGACTTAAAGCTACTGTAAAGGATTTTTAAGTCAAGGATGATAGAAAATTAAAAGACTCATTGTAACAACATAAAATTCCATGTATTACCACTGTATCCCATCCTTCACCCAGCTGAAGGATGGGAAATAGTAGTAATAACACTAATAGTACTGTGCATTCATCTAGTATTTTCATAAAAATTGATGCATACAATTAATAAAGTGCTCTTAATACTCAACACACAGTTTTTCTGCCATTTAAGCTAATCAAAATGTGAGTATTCATTCATCCAACACATATCCAGTATTCTCAGAATAGTACCTTCTAGATAGGGTCCCCTCCCACTGATTCCTCCAAGCTAATTCATGATTTATTTTTGCTAATTGAATAATTACAAATCCCTTTTTAGTGCGGCAGAGGAAATAATTTGAAGTCTTAATCCAGTGCCATGCTTATTTGCAACCCCCGTTTGCTTTACATTAAAACCTTCAGATCCCATTGTCAGCTATTTAAAAACAATTTCACATGAAAAAAGGAACATTTAACACAAGTGTTCTTGTTAGCGTGAAACATTTTGTCTGTGTTTGCTTTCATTGCTGTGCCTACCTTCAAACTTGGTCTTCAAGATAAACTCCTTGTAGAACCTTTTGCCGTTACCTGGTTTCATGGCATCACAGACTTTGGATGTATTGGAGCATACAGCTTGCCTCATGTTGTGCAGAGCATAGGCCATGGCATAGACTGCGTTTACCACAAACATGATCTTGGACTCCTGCTCAAACGTTCCATCTCGTAGGCTGTGTTCACTACAGCCAGGTTCCTGGAGACTACAGCCAAACCGGTGCTCCCAGAACTCTTTGAACCACGGGTTCCTTGTGTTGGTGTATGGGTTCAGCTTGGTGAAATAGTCTTCAAATTCTCTAATTGGGTAGGAGGCCAGCTCAATGGTGAAAGCATTGTCTGCTGCAGTTTCGCTGCCTCTCACCACACTCTCTTGAGCTCCCCATCCATCACTGGCCACCCAGATGAATGTTGCATTCATGCGAGCAGCAGCCACCAGCAGCTCACGGGCATCTTCACTGCGGGTAAACAAGACGACCACCTTGGCATTGGACTTCTGCTGCAGAGAGCGGATCACATTATCATAGCTCTGGCGGTTCATGGAGCGGCTCACCTTGGCTGAAGTGGCGATGCAGATTTGGCGAGTGCGGGCCTCCTGCTGGAAGGCATCAATGCCAGTCTCACCATAGTCGCCCTCTGATGCTACTGTAGACACGTAGGTCCAGTTGAAGAAACGCAGGATCTCAGCCATAGCCTTAGCCTGGTAGAAGTCAGGGGGCACAGTGCGGGCGAAGTAGTCATAGCGGGTCTTATCGCTGAGCTTTGAACTGGTAGAGGCATAGCTGATCTGAGGGATCTGGAACAATCGCAGAAGGTTGGCCACCTGGAAAAAGAAGGGATATATTTCATTGGGTATATTAAGCTTAATTTCATACTTGCATAATCTTTATCAATATATTTTTTAATTATTGTTTTATATATATTTATTACCCCTTTATTGGATATAGTTTCAATGGCAATGGAGTGACACGAACCATGGTGTGCATCTTAGATTGCTCAGAATGCCTGGGGAAACTTTTATTTAGTGAGGGGAAACCTTTATTTGATAAGTTATATTTTGGGAATTTATAGCAGTAGTTGCTGCGGGTTAGTTTACAACTTGCATGGGACAATGTCAGTCACAGGTAATCATTATTGGTGATAATAGTTTGCTTGTGTGGATTCTTGGCATTGGCATTTCAAAACAGCCGTATTGCTTCTCTAAAATGTGATTTTTGGCTCCTTGGGGGCAGTGGATACAAGCCGGTGAACACAAAATTAATATAGTATCTTTACCTTTTAAGTTAACATGGCAAACTTTTTCACATACAGTTGCCTATTTATACATCTAGCAGACAGAGACAACGTTAGCACTGATTCGTCATTTTTTGGCCACCTGGTAAAATCACTCTCCTTTAAGCTCACTGTTTTGGTCCCTACCAAAACAGTGAGCTAAAATACATTCTAATGTTCCGTAGAGCTGAGGGGAACTGAGTTGGGTGATTATTATCCGTGACTTTGTTACAATGAGCAACCCCAATTACATTACACATAAACGTATTATCCATTTTTATTCTAAAAATGTTGACTTTAGCCACCTTAACAGATCTAGATTGATCCATTTGCAGATTCTTGAGGAGATGGCAAACATTCAGATTGCTCACTGTTACAACATTCTTATGGTTTAAATGGCACTAGAGTGAACAAAATGCTGCAATGCTGCATTTTAAACCTCTGAAGTGTTTTTCAGCATCTTTTAACTTGTAGATATCCATGGTCTGTAGTTAAAGGGCAGAGCTGATGTCTGATGTGCTTCTGCTCTGTGGCGGAGACTGGCAGTGGAAACAACGACAATTCAATGCTCCTCTATCTTAAACTGTTTACTCTGTCAGGGATCCACATCACCAGCAGCTGGTGCCACACATCCCTTCACAGATAGTGCCAGATATCAACAGCAACAATGGCCCAGAGATAAGATTTGTATCGGTGTGTTTTGTTGCTTTCTCGAGTTAAAACCATTCTGTCAAGTCATTCAAGTCTCATGACAGATTCTGTCAGATGTTATGATGCCCACCTAACCCAGACAAATATATTGATTTCCTTGTGGAGATGATAGTTTTGTGGTGCTGAGTTGGATGATATTCTTTGACTGGGAACTTAGCAAGGCATCCATGTTGGACACAAGCCTGCTGAAATGATTGTGTCAGAGTCATAACATTTATCATGGCAATTATTTTCCCACACAGCATTACAGAGGTGAGAGCTGGTGAAAACTTGTCATTTTGCGGGATTCCTCATGAGACACAGTGGTGATTAGTAAATACCCATGAGCTTCAATATGACTACCTCCTCCCTCAGGCATCATTGTATGCCTGGAGGCTTCCCAAACAATGGCATCCCAGTGGATTCAATTGGAACCTTCCACACTCACACTAAGTCCCATTAAAAGTACTATTCTCTGTTACAGCTCACTCATTCCAACCCACGAGAACTTAAACAGAGCTATCAATCGTTATGTGCACTAGAATTCTGCATGTGGTGTAAACCCTGAACACGTTACTCAACGATCTTTTCGTAGTCCTGCTAGTGGCATAGCTCTAGGGATGGCAATGTCAACCTGACAGTCAGTTGGTCCATAACTTTGGTCCAGACTGACATAACTAAAAAACTAATTACTAGATTTTCATAAAATTTGGTACATGGATTAATGTCACAAAGTAACTTTGGTGCTGCCCTGATCCTCTTTCATCTAGTCTTACCATCAAGTCATTTTTCTTGATTTACAACCAAACTAATAATTCCGATCAGCCTCAGCTGTGTGTTAAAGCCCCCCTCCAGTGTATTTTGACATTTCTATGATATTTCATATTTTTCATATTTTCTTACAATGTTGATTACCCACATAGTTCGCCAAACATTTTTTGACAAATAGCTTAATTTTGTGCTCAAAGTTGTAAACGTTGCTTAGTTGTTAAAACGGGGTGGTGACATATGACAGTAGTGTATATGTGTACATAACACAGACTGTATATAAAAAGGTACATACACATACAGTAGTGACATGTAGTTCCATAAGTCATACGTCATTCTCCAAGCTTGCGCAGCGCACTGTCATGCCTCGTTAAGTCAGAGCATCAAACCTATAAACATCGTTGTGAGCTAGCTAACCAATTTATCATGTAATTTACTTAGAACTTACAGTAATGTCTCTCTGTGTCTGATTGTTGGTTTGTCTTTCTAGTTTAGTTAACTAAGTTGTAGTTAGCCAGGTGTAGTTAGCTAGCAGTTATTGCAGAAAGTTAGCTAACAGAGGGTCTTCATTTTATTTTCCTCCTCCTGGTTTAGTTTGCTGTTCATTGTCATTATGGCATTTGTGCGTGCGGTGTTGGAGGACAGATGACAGAAAACATGTCGCACTTTCACCTGCCACCGTCTTATATACAGTCTGCAACATGTATTTTACTGACGGCCGTTTTACCAGTGCGTCAGCGGAGGAAATGGTATCAGAAGTCTTTACATACAGTTCAACAGAGTAATAGAAATAGAAACAATTAGGCCTTCGTAATGAAAAAATAAAAAATTAAAACCTTAATCTAAGATGGTGAACATGGTAAACATAATACCTGCTAAAAATCAGCATGTTAACATTGTCATTGTGAGCATTTTAGCATGCTGAAGTTAGCATTGAGCTCAAAGAACCACTGAACCTACAATGTAAGTACAACCTCAGGAAGCCACTAGCATGACTATAAGCTCTTTTTCTAGTTTATTGTTTACTTCCATTTAAGAGTTTTCTTGCATTACACTTTCTGAGTGCACAATTCTCTCCTCCAGACACCTTTTCATTGCTATGGCCAGCCTTAATATAAAGTGAAGCTTTTGTAAACATACATTACTGGACTCAGAAAACCAGAGGAGACTACACACTGTTTGGCCTCAGAAATTACTGACATTAACCCTAATCTGCGGGTAGCCATGTGCTTAACCTCCTTTAGCTAAAACACCCCAAAGACAAGAGCCACCATAAAATACTGGCACACTATAAAGTCTTGAGGGGATGGATGGAGTAAATATGATGTATTTAGACAAGCACACTGCACTCAGCAGTAGTCCTCTCCACCGTTTGTAGCAGAATATAGGGCAGAGGTCTCAACAAATTACCCACTGAGAGACGTGATTTCCATTGCTCATGTATGGGGAAATGACTGACTGTATCCCTGCATGTTCTGATTCATTTATGTTCCCTAGGATATATATATAGTATTTTGCATGCAGCAGGCTAACATACACTCACCTAAAGGATTATTAGGAACACCTGTTCAATTTCTCATTAATGCAATTATCTAATCAACCAATCACATGGCAGTTGCTTCAATGCATTTAGGGGTGTGGTCCTGGTCAAGACAATCTCCTGAACTCCAAACTGAATGTCAGAATGGGAAAGAAAGGTGATTTAAGCAATTTCGAGCGTGGCATGGTTGTTGGTGCCAGACGGGACAGTCTGAGTATTTCACAATCTGCTCAGTTACTGGGATTTTCACGCACAACCATTTCTAGGGTTTACAAAGAATGGTGTGAAAAGGGAAAAACATCCAGTATGCGGCAGTCCTGTGGGCGAAAATGCCTTGTTGATGCTAGAGGTCAGAGGAGAATGGGCCGACTGATTCAAGCTGATAGAAGAGCAACTTTTACTGAAATAACCACTCGTTACAACCGAGGTATGCAGCAAAGCATTTGTGAAGCCGCAACACGCACAACCTTGAGGCGGATGGGCTACAACAGCAGAAGACCCCACCGGGTACCACTCATCTCCACTACAAATAGGAAAAAGAGGCTACAATTTGCAAGAGCTCACCAAAATTGGACAGTTGAAGACTGGAAAAATGTTGCCTGGTCTGATGAGTCTCGATTTCTGTTGAGACATTCAGATGGTAGAGTCAGATTTTGGCGTAAACAGAATGAGAACATGGATCCATCATGCCTTGTTACCACTGTGCAGGCTGGTGGTGGTGGTGTAATGGTGTGGGGGATGTTTTCTTGGCACACTTTAGGCCCCTTAGTGCCAATTGGGCATCGTTTAAATGCCACGGCCTACCTGAGCGTTGTTTCTGACCATGTCCATCCCTTTATGGCCACCATGTACCCATCCTCTGATGGCTACTTCCAGCAGGATAATGCACCATGTCACAAAGCTCGAGTCATTTCAAATTGGTTTCTTGAACATGACAATGAGTTCACTGTACTAAAATGGCCCCCGCAGTCACCAGATCTCAACCCAATAGAGCATCTTTGGGATGTGGTGGAACGGGAGCTTCGTGCCCTGGATGTGCATCCCACAAATCTCCATCAACTGCAAGATGCTATCCTATCAATATGGGCCAACATTTCTAAAGAATGCTTTCAGCACCTTGTTGAATCAATGCCACGTAGAATTAAGGCAGTTCTGAAGGCGAAAGGGGGTAAAACACAGTATTAGTATGGTGTTCCTAATATTCCTTTAGGTGAGTGTATAAGCAGCCACACTGAGTCAGTCAGTCACACTTGCATTGTAATAAGGTAGTTTCCTCTTGCAGGGTTTTCAGACAGGCAGTTGGCCTTCATCAGTAGATTCTTGGAGAAGCTTGACAGCGCACCTTTCAGGACGGCACTGGAGTGTGTGACAGTAACCGTCTGTTCGTCCTCATGCGGTACTTCTCACTCTCTCCATCAACAAGTCAGATAAGAACACAGCCACAGTACTGGCTCAGGGGTATCGGACTGTAAATTTTCTCCCATTGCATGAGACTCCACAAACTCCAAACTTGCATTTCATTTCTTAATTAAGTGGTAATAGATGGTACAGTT